ACAACTAGGACCCTTCTCCATGTTTGTCAGGAAGTGGGGGGACCTCAGGCAGCCAGGCTGCGTGCTGGCGGGTGCATCACCCAGGTGGGTCCAAGGAACCCTCCAGTGGGAGCGAGGGTGGGCGACGGAGAGCTTGGCAGTGGCGGCGTCCACCCCTCACCGCAGCCAGAAAGGGAGGTGGGGGTGCTGGGAGGTGCAGGGCTGCCCAGGAAGCCACTGCGAGTACCTGCAGTCAGAGGGCTCAGCAGAACCTGCCGCCTGAGGGTGGGGCGATGACAGGAACACCTTCCCTCCCCCGATTTGGGACAAAGTCTTCATCAGCTGCCCCAGAGATGACCCGTGGGACCCGACCAGCTCCTGTCTTTTATTCCCCGTACGTGGCACTTTCGGGCTGTGCGCCTGGAGGGTTTGCCGCTCTCAGTCTTGAGAGCCCAGGGCACAGTGGTGCTCAGCAAACACCTGTGGAATTCCTACCTGGCTCAGCCCCTGCTGGGGCCTGAACATCTGTCACAAGCAGCTGGGCTCGGCCCCATGGGTGCAGCAGGCACAGGGACACATCCGTCAAACAGGCAAGGCCAGCAGGGCCGGGATGGAGGGCAGGCAGGACACCAGCCTGGAACATCCCCCCCGCCCCCGCTCCCGCCCCCATGCAGGCCCCTGCAGCCTGAGCCCGGGCCCCAGTCTCCCCCAACTCACCAGTCGGGCAGCTGACAGGCACTCCTCGGCCAGCCACTTGCCGTGGCTGTCCCTGTGGCCACCCGGGGCCTTGCTCTGCGGGCAGGGGTTGGATGGGCCCTGCCAGCTCAGCTCCCGCACGAGGACGCGAGCCATGCTGGGCCGAGGCCCAGGGGCCTGTGCCAGGTCTGGTCCATCCACATCCAACCTGCGGAGGCCAAAGCAGGCGGAAGGCTGGTCCTCACAGCCCTCACCGCGGCCCCAGGTCCGGAGAAGGCCCAGTGGGGCCCTCACCGCCTAGCCTGCCAGCAGGCCTCCTGCCCCTCCCTGCGCCTGGGCTCACCCCCCTGCCTGGGCAGGTCACCCTCCCTGTGTTCCTTCAGGCTCCATGGGAGGAGCCTTGCTCTGGGCCACACTTGCTTAGCTGCCCGCTCTGACCAGCAGCAAGACACTGCCTCAGGCCCTGTGCTGTGCTTTCTCCACCCGATGGTCTCTGAGCCCTGGGGGCCCAGGACCGGGGTCTGGGGCCTATCCCCACCCACCCCGGTGCCCAAGGAGCCCCCTCACCTGGAGGCAGAAGTCTTTTCCCAGGGTGGGTCACACATCCGGGCATGGGGGTGGCATGTGGCCCCAGGCGGCACCTGCAAAAGAGAGGAGGATTGGCCAGGTCCTGGCCCAGGTTACTGTGCCCAGGGGACCCGACAGGCTGGGCCAGGGCCACAGGGCCCAGAAGCAGGCAGGAGCAGAAGTGGCAGGGGCTGCCAGCCTGGTGCTCTCCACCATACTGATGGGAGCCCTGGCCTGGCCGATGAGGCAGCCAGCCAGGTGGGTGAGAGATGGGGTCCTTCGGGTGCTAATGCCTGGCCCTCATTCCAACCCCCACTTCCTCTACCGCGAACCCACCCTCTCTCCAAAAGGGGTTCTGGCTCTACTGCCTGGTCCGTCCCCCGGGGGTGAGCCTCTGTGGCCCCTGCTGCTCCTGCACTGCCCACCCTGCAGGCCCCGAGGCCACCTGCACGGGCTCACCCGGCTGTGCTCCTGAACGACAGAGATGCCGTGCTGGGCCCCAGGCCCCAGAACCACCTCTCGGGCCAGCACCACGGTCTGCCTGGAATGTCCGGGCCGCCCCCTCCACCTTGGGTGGAGCCTCCTTGACCCCCACGTCCCCACCCCTGCGCTCCCTGCTGCCCTTCCCGGATTGACCTTCCTAATGAGACCGACCGACCCGTCTACAACCCGCTGTTTTAGGCCTCACAGGGTGGAGCGAGACCTCACCCCAAGACAGGTGGACTCCACGCGGGCAGGACACACAGAGGGGCGTCAGGTACTGGCCCCTGGAGCCCGTGATGCCACCACGCAGGCCTATCTGCCCCTTGAGCACATTCAACATTCACGCTCTTCATCGTGTCCACAGCCCCCCCCCACCCGCCCGGGGAGAGATCAGCTGCGTTTGACAGATGGTGGGGAGGCTGGGCCCTGGGACAGGTTGCACAGGCCCCTGTGCCTTGGGGAGCCCCTCTAGAAAGTGACCCTGCCACGGAGGCCCATGGAGTTCAAGGCCGTGCAGGTGAGCCCGCCATGGAGTCTCATGGAGTTCCGGCGAGGATTCCTTTCCAGAGGCTCCCTGGGCTCCCTGCCTCTCTCCGCTGGTGAAAGGCCCCTCGCCCGGCAGAAGGACCCGACCACGCTGTCCCCTGGGAAGACGCTGTGCCCACCCCGCCAGCCTCAGGCCACGGGGAGGCTGCAGGCTGCCAGGCCCAGGTCCTGGGGTGCCCGCAGGCAGCACTAGGCGATGGGCCCAGCACCCTCCTCCCTGTGTGCCCAGGCATCTGCTGCAGGGCCTGCCCCGGAGCAGCCCCGAGGGGGCTGTCCAGTCTTGCCCAAAGGTCTTGGGGTCCAGCAGGGCCTGGGTTGGAGGCTGTGGCTCCCATGTGGACACTGTCCCCCACATTCATGCGCTGGCCCGAATATATGTCCACACTGTTCAAGGCCCTGTTCCCACCCCCCTGACACTCCGGGAGTCCCCCTCCCATCCCCCCACCCCACCCGAGACCTGCGCCCTCCACAGCCCCTGGCCTGGCTTCTCAGCTCTCTGGGTCCCCTCCGCCTCTCCACCCTTCACTACGGGAGAGGCTCTGAAGCCGGTCCCCACCGGGGAGACCCCCCACCCCCGCAGGGTCTGCTCCGGGCCTCCTCTCCCCCCCAGGGGCAGAACTTGACCCCTCCTATGTCAGTGCTGGGAGCCTCTCAAAGCACAGCCCGCGGCGGGGGTGGGGGTGCAGGCAGGGTCCCCAGGGGACCGGATTGAACCTCTGGGGGCATCAGAGTCCCCCACTGACACTGCAGCTCAATCCTCGCACCCGCCCCTTGTCCTGCTCACCCCCTGGCTCCAGGCGGAGAGCGAAGTCTGAGGCCCTCACCTGAGGGCTCCGCCCCAGTGCCCGGCCCTGCGGGCTCGGCCCTGGCCACCCTCCGCCGCCGGGCGCTCTCTCGATTCCGGGTTGTTCTTCCGGCCGCGGGGTTGCGGGACCTGGGCGCCATAGCAACAGGGGCAGGACCTCATTTGAATAATCAAATATTCATGAGCCGCCGAACTTTCGAGGCTCCGCGGGGCCGAGACACACCCCTTAGCAACAGTTGCTATTGCAGATTGTCGGGGGGGGGGGCGAGGGCCAGGTCGGGGCGAGGGCAGGGGTGGGGTTTCGGGCGGGTGCTACCCCGCACGTGCGGGGGCGCCCCTCGGGCTGAGGCGAAGGCAAAGCGCCGTCAGGCCCGGGGCGGGGGCGGGGGGGGGGGGGTCGCAGACCGGCCAGGTGTCTGCCGCCCGCGAAGGCGATTTTGGGAGGCGCCGCGGAGCCGTCCGCGGCAGGTGTGGCAGGTGTCGCCTCGAAAGGACGCGCAGGTGGAAGGACCCCCCGAGGACAAGGGGAGCGAAGACCTGGAAACCCGGGGGGGCGGCCAGGTCCGCGTCCACGCGGGACGCTGCCACCCGCCTTCACTCCGCGTCTCCGAGCGTCAGGCGCGATCGGGACCTGTTCCAGCCGCGGCACCGTGCGCCGGGCGGCCAACCGGCACAGCGCGTGGGGTCGGCGTCGTGGGGGCGGGAAGGCCCCCCAAGGTGGAGGCCTGCAGCGGGGTGAGCTGGGCGGAGAGCAGCGAACCTTCGCGGGAGGGGCTGGGCGGCGCGGCGGAGGGTGGGTGCCGCGGAGCTTGCATCGCACCCTTCTTCCTTGTGAATAGAGGGGCTCATGCGTTCCTTCGACATTTTTAAATAACGTTAGAAACAGGTCTTTCCGAGCGTCCTGAAAGGAGCCGGTGTGTGCTTTGATGGGTTGGGGAGCTTCAGTCCACAGACTACGGCAACTTGTGGGCTGGATTTGTGGGGCGCCGTGTGTTTCCTGGGCCACACCGCGAGCTCTGCAAGGCAGCATCTCTGGGTTTGGGGGAGCCGGCAGGCCGGCAGTCTGTGGGGCCTGCCCAAGTTGGGGAAAGCAGGTGAGGGGTGTGGGGGTGCGCGCTACGTGAGAAGCAAGAGCCCGGTGCTTACGGGGCAAAAAGACTGAGCCGGACCCGCTCAGACCGGGCGCTCCGGCACTGCCCGCCCCTGGTGCACGGCCATGCCCGGCCTCCGGTCCCCGCAAATGCTGCCAAGCGTCCTGGGAGGGAGGAAGCGGCCATCCCAGAGCCGCCTGCGGGGAAGGGGTGCGGCCGGGCCACTGAGGACCTCAGGCTCCTGCCCTCCGCCTTCTCAGCCAGATCCTGGGGGCGCCCATGGTGCCGACCCTGCGGGCTCCGCCCTCCCGGGGGGCTGTTTTCCGCTCCAGGGCCCTCGCTGGGCTGCGCGGCGCCGGGGGGACCTCGGAGGGCGTGGACGCGGCTGTGCGCGCCGTCGAGGTGCGGAGGAGCCCGGCGCGGGGCTCCAGGAGCGGCTCCTGGGTCTCGAGCGGGACTCCGGCGACCCCGCCCCAGACCACACCCGGCCGCCGGCTCGCTTCCCAGTCCGGTCTCCATCTCCCGGGGAGCCCGCCCTGTTTCCGGGAGAGTCCGGGGCCTCCCCGAGAAGCTGTCGCCCGGGACCCTCGGCTCCGGCACCGATGACTTCCTCCCGCGCCGGCGGCGACAGCCCCCAAGGCCGCGGCCCACGAGGGCCAACCAACCCGGCACCGCCCTCCGCGCCTTCCGCTCCCGGAAGCCCCGCCCGCCACCGCCCCTGACGGGCGGGCCATTAGACCAATCGGAACGGAGCTGGGCGGGGCTGGAGGCAGGGTCCTGGGCGCACGACCAATGGCAGGCCGCGCAGGGCTAATGGACGGACGCGGGGTGGGGCGGGGCGTGCGCGGCCCGAGCGAGTGTCCGCCACCCGCGCTCGAGTCCGCCGTCCGCAGCCGGAGCCGCACCCGCCGCGGTCGGAGCCCATGCACCGGGGGAGCCGCGCGCCCCGGCCCCCGCCCCGGCCCCGGGGGTAGTCGCGCCTGTGAGCGGTGAGTGCGGCGGGGGGCGGCTGCGGCGGGAGGGGGCTGTTGGAGTCGGGCGGCGGGGCCGAGCGGCCCGGAGCCGGGAGCCGCCGTCCTCGCTGGGCGCGCGGGGGCGCAGGTGAGCCGCGGGCGGGGCGCTGCGGCTCGGGGTCGGGGCTGCGGCGCCCGGGCGCCGGGTGTGCCTCGTCCCGGCCGGCTCCTCGGGCTCCGTTTTCCCGGCTCCGGCCCCCGGGCCCCCCAGTGCCCTCAGCTGGTGTGCGGGGCTGCTCTGCGCCGAGGCCTCCTGGCCACGCTCTAGGCGGGGTCTCCCAGCCTCCGCCGTCCCAGGATCCCTCCGGAGAGCTTGGGCCAGCGGGCCAGCTGAGGTTTAGGACGCCCGCTCTTCTCACCAGGGCACCCCCTCGTGAAACGTCAGAAGTCGGAGACACCTAAGCAGGGCCTTGGCCTCAGGCCCTTTTCCATTCCCACCTGTGTCCCCGCTCCCACACCTCCTCCGGGTCTCCTGTTGGTTAACCAGTGTCGCCCTGAAACCCTTGCCCCCCCTGGCTTCCTCATCTGCCTTGTTTTCTCCAAAGTTTCCAGGCAGGAGGACGCCCCGGGTTCCCCCTGATCCTCACAGTGGGTGCCCTCCGCCAGCTCACAGCCCACCAGGCCGGGGTGGGGTCCTTCCTGTGCCTGGAACAGCTCCTGGCATGTCGGAGGCGCTGGGTAGTACTTGTTGAGTGCACCCACATGCCTGGTGGGGCCCCGGGCCGGCCGAGGGTTGGCACTGGCCTGCCTGGGCACGTCGCTGTGCGCGGCGCCGTGGCAGGACCTGTTCTCGTAGGGAGGGGGCACTGTAACCTCAGCCCGAGGCACCTCCCGTTCAGGCTTTCTGCCTACCCAGCAACTTCTAATTTGGGTGCACGGTGGGGAGATGCTCTCAGCTGTCAGCCCTGCCTATGGGGGGGGGGGGTAGCTTGCTGCCTCTCACACAGTTACTAAGTGCAGCTGCAGGTGCCACAGGTGGGCCGTGGGCCGTTACTCTGGCTGCCACCCTGTTACCTGGGTGTTGGGGCCGGGTGGGGCCTGGGCGTGGCTGACAGGCCTTCCTTGGCAGGTGGGACAGGAGGCCACCGCAGCATCCTGAGCCGCAGCCCCAGGAGCGATGACCGAGTACAAGCTGGTGGTGGTGGGGGCCGGAGGTGTGGGGAAGAGCGCCCTGACCATCCAGCTCATCCAGAACCACTTCGTGGACGAGTACGACCCCACCATCGAGGTGAGCGGGCCACTCCTCACCCCAGCACCACCCTCAGGGGGCCTGTCTTCTGCCTGCTCTGCAGGAGCGTCCCCTTGATGGAGGACCTGGGGAGCACAGGAGGGGCTGGTGATGCTGCTGCCGCACCCCCGAGGAGGGGGTCCCTGAGCAGTGTCCTCCCACAGGACTCCTACCGGAAGCAAGTGGTCATTGACGGGGAGACGTGTCTGCTGGACATTCTGGACACGGCGGGCCAGGAGGAGTACAGTGCCATGCGGGACCAGTACATGCGCACCGGGGAGGGCTTCCTCTGTGTGTTCGCCATCAACAACACCAAGTCTTTCGAGGACATCCACCAGTACCGGTGAGCCGCCCACCCTCCGAGGCCTCCCTGAGCTCAGTGCGCCTGGATGCAACCGTGCCTGCAGCCTGCCAGCCAGCTCACCCCTTCCTCCTTGCAGAGAGCAGATCAAGCGGGTGAAGGACTCGGACGACGTGCCCATGGTGCTGGTAGGGAACAAGTGTGACCTGGCTGCACGTACTGTGGAGTCTCGGCAGGCGCAGGACCTCGCCCGCAGCTATGGCATCCCCTACATTGAGACTTCCGCCAAGACGCGCCAGGTGAGCTGGCGCCACGCCCACAGCTAGCCAGGGCCCCGCCCCGCCCCGCCCAGCCAGGGAGCCTTGCTCATTGCCCCTCTCCCTCAACACAGGGCAGCCGCTCTGGCTCTGGCTCTGGCTCCAGCTCCGGGACCCCCATGACCCAGCTGCCCCTCGCGCTGTAAGTCTCCCGGGACGGCAGGGCAGCGAGGGAGGCCAGGGCCGGGTCGGGGCTGAAGCAGCTCTAGGGGAAGGTAGAGGTGGAGGTCCCCGGAGAGAGCTGTCTTGAGCCAGGCCGGAGCGGTGACCCTGGAGCCCCCGCCCCTCTGCCCCCAGGGTGCCCGGATCCCTTTAGCGGGCGGGCTGCTGGGGACAAGGGCAGTAGCGCAGAGGTGGGCACAGGGTGGTCAGGCTCAGAGCCAGACCTGGGGCCACCCTGCCCCGGGGGGAGCTGCTGAGGAGCCGGTGTCTGGTGGGGGGCCCTGGGGCAGTGAGAGGAGCAGCGCACGGCTCCTTGCTTGTGGGTGCAGGTGGAGAGGGGCTGGGATTCGGCTGGAGCTGGTGGCAGGGGTCCCTCCATGTCTCCTCCCCTGCTGGGCCCTCAGGCTGAGGCCCCGAGGCCCCCTCTGAGCGGCTCCTTCTCCCCAGGGCGTGGAGGACGCCTTCTACACGCTGGTGCGTGAGATCCGGCAGCACAAGGTGCGCAAGCTGAGCCCGCCGGACGAGGGCGGCCCTGGCTGCATGAGCTGCAAGTGCCTGCTCTCCTGACGACCCTGTGGGTCCTGTGTGCCCGCCCCGCACAGGAGCCCCGGAGGTGCCGGATGCCGGGAGGAGGGGAAGGAAGGAAGGAAGTGCCGCCAAAGCCCGGCCAGCCCAGGGCTGGGGACAGAGCGACCGTGGGCCTCCCAGGATGCTTTGCACAGACTGGTGAACTGAGGCCTCCGGCCCCAGCCGCGCCTCTATTTGCAGCCCGGCCCGGCCCACTGGGCGCAGGTTCTGTTGCAGTAAATTATTTGATGGTCTTGACCCTGGCGTCTGGCCAGCTATGTGTGTGGTCTCTCATGGGGTCGGGGGGGGGGGGGGGGGCATGGACCTCAGCTTCCTCCAGCCAGCGGCCCCTCAGGGTGTCGGGCGCTGCAGCATAGGCGGGTCACGCAGGCTAACATTTGAACAAAAAGCACTTCACTGACCTTTAACCAGCAGGGGACTGAGAGCAAGGGCATGCCCCGTGCCCTAGAAGGGGGCCTTGTCTGGACACTGACGGGTGGGGGTGGGGGTGGAGGGGGGGGTGTCTGGCACCTCGGAGCCTCCGACTACAGCGGGGCCTGAGGTTCCTGAGCTTTAGGGCCTGAAAGGCGGTTGCCCTGCCCCGTCCACGCCAGGGGCCACTCGGCCTCAGTCGTCAACCCTGCTGCCCTCTCTGTTGGTCTGGCCTGCCTGTCCCTTACGCACCCCCCTCCCCCAGCCCCGGGGTGGCCTGTTGCTCCCAGAGCTGCCTCCCGTCACCGACCCACATGGCTTTGTGGGGTGCAGGTGGCCACCTACCGCTCTGAGGGCCTGTCCTGCCACCCATTCTCCTTCAGACTGGGTCCGGCTCAGGTGCCCTGCCCTCCAGGCCCAGGGCATCTTGGGGAACTCTTCATGTTCCGCTGGAAGCCAGCAGGCTGGGTGAGCTCCTTCCTGGGCCATGTGGCTGGCGCAGGGTGTGCCCTGTGGTGTCCTCATGGCTGCCCTGGGCTGACCCCCAGGCTCTGCAGGGTCCACCCTGATGCCCAGCCCCAGCCTGGTCTTCCAAATCCTAGCAGGAGAGGAAGGGCACAGGACCGGGCTCTCCCTGCTACTTATTACCCTGAGAGGGTGAATCAGGAGGGCCCTGTGCTGAGGCCCCCTAGGGGAGGGAAAGGCACACTGCAGCCTCTGGAGCTCGGCCATCGAGGCCTGAAGGTGCCTGAGCCAGCATGGTGCTCCAGGGTCCAGGCTGGGATGGCGGGTCCAGCAGGAGCTCCCACAGGCCTTCCAGGGGCAGCGTCAGGAGGCATTCTAGGTGTGGGCACGTGCGCCAGGCTGGGAGGGTCCCCACCTGTCCCCCAAGGTGCCTTGTGGGGGGGCGGCGCCGGCTAGCAAAGGGCCTGCCCCATTCCTGCGGCCTCAATGGAGGGGGCCCTGCCCAGCTCAGGCTGGCACCTCTGCTCCGTGGCCTGGGCACTCGACTCGCACACACGGTCACTTCTGTGCACCTTGAGGGCTGTGCCATGGCCAGGAGCCCATGCTGGCTCTCCAGGGTGAGGGAGGGCAGCCTGAGCTGGGCCCCCTCTGCCTCTGGTCCAGGTAGTCTCCCCAGGGGCACTTGGAACCCCTCTGGCTGACGTGCAGGTGGACAAAGCGGCTCCCCCCAAGGCCACTCGGGTCTGAGGCCAGACTGATAACCTGGGGCAGCAGTGCCAGCCGCTCAGTGGGAATGACCCCGAGAGGAGCCCGGCACCCGCTGCCAAGTGGGCCAGGGGCTGCCCCACCCCTGGGAGCCAGGAGGGAGATGTCCCCAGGGGCTCCAGGTGCCTTTCTCCTTGAGGACGGCTCTCCAGGGTGGGCCCTGACCCTAACACTAACCCGCACCTCAGCCGCAGGTGCCTGAGGGCAGGCCCTGGCTTCGTGAGGGTGGAGTGGGGCTGGCTGAGCTGGGCTCAGGGACAGAGCATCCTGCGGCCAGGTCTCGCTGGGCAGCCCCACCCCGTCCATGGAGCCGGGGAGGAACCCCCTATTGGGGAGCAGAGGGTGTCCGGTGGGGGGTGGAAGCCTCCAGTGTGAGCCTGGGTCAGCCCGGGGGGAGGGCGCGCTGTGCTCAGCAGTGCTGCTTCCCCTTTGGGAGAGCCTTCCCACGATGAGCTCACGATGGGCCTGGGGTCCCTGGAATGAAGGAGTCTGAGAAGCCCCAGGCCCCCCGCAAATCAGAGCCTGCTCCAGGTCAGGCACTGGCAGGTGCCCCGCTGAGCACTTGTGGCCCCCGTGTGCCGACAACCCCAGAGAGGAGGCTTGCTCCTTCCAGAGGACTGAGGGCCAAAGAGAGGCCCCCCACTGAGGCCCAGCCTGGGGGCACCCTGTGCTGAGGGGCAAGCAGACATCCCAGCCCTGGCTACCCCCTTCTCCACAATGGCCACAGTGGGCATGGGGGCCCAGGGACACCTAGTTCCTGTGCATTAACCCGGAGCAAGAGACAGAGGAGCCAGCAGCCCTGAGAGGCCCGGGAGCTGGCGCCCGGACCACAGCCTGACTCCCGCTTCCGCGTCCTCGTATTTGTCCTCAGCCATTGGCACGGGCACCTCCTCACTGTCAGTCTTTCTCCAGAGATAGCTGGTATCTAACGCACCAGCCGCAAATGACTGCGGTCTATGCAGTATGTTTTTCGAAGAAGTGATTCACTTCCTTGCTCTTTTTTTAAAAAATATATTTTATTGATTTTTTACAGAGAGGAAGGGAGAGGGATAGAGAGCTAGAAACATCGACGAGAGAGAAACATTGATCAGCTGCCTCCTGCACACCCCCTACTGGGGATGTGCCCGCAACCAAGACACATGCCCTTGACCAGAATCGAACCTGGGACCTTTCAGTCCGCAGGCTGACGCTCCATCCACTGAGCCAAACCGGTTAGGGCTCCTTGCTTCTTTTTAAAAAAATATATCTTTATGATGTCAGAGAGTAAGGGAGAGGGAGAGAGAGAGAAACATCAATGACGAGAATCATGGATCGGCTGCCTCCTGCACGCCCCACACTGGGGATGGAGCCCGCAACCCGGGCCTGTGCCCTGACCGGGAATCTAACCGTGACTCCTGGTTCCTAGGTCGATGTTCAACCCCTGAGCCACGCCGGCCGGGCCCCCTTGCTTCTGAACTATAATTAAGCTTTAAGATTAAAACAAAACAAATATCGGGGAAGTCTTCAGGGCATCTCAGTGTTTAAAACTTTTTAGCAGAAAGTCGCACACAGTGAAGTGCAGCGGGCTGAGTGCTTACTCGCGTCCTGTTTTTGTGCAGTCTTTGGGTTTTTACCAACGGGCAGAACCACCACTGCCCCTTCACCCTGAAGCGCCCCTCGGTGGCCGGGCTGTCCCCACGCCGTCAGCCTGGTGACCACCGCCTCTCTCCCCCACCCCATGCCTTTCCCAGACGCCCTGAGTGAATCAGCAACCAAAGCGCATCCCGGTCCCTCCCGCTCTGCTGGGCAGCAGCGTCCTCCTTCCCGGCACCGACCGTGCTCTGTTGTGTGGGTTCCCTGTCCAGTTCCCCTCCCCTCCCGTGGGCAGCTTCCAGCTTTGAGCAACAGCGTGAGTGGCTCCTGGAGGTTGGTGTGCGTTTCAAAGCGGTGGGTACCAGCACTTTGGGCTGCACCGTCTGTGCCCCTCCGTCAGGTGAGGGACAGTCCCTGCGGCCACCCGCCCTCGCCGGCAGGGTCCTCCCAGCATCCCGGCTGGCCGTGCTCTGACTGTGGCCGCCCTAATGGCTGTGCAGTGTGTCTCGTATCAATGATGGGGATTGTCCTGGGTCTGCTGGCTGCACGTAGACACACACACACACACGCACACACACGGATGTGTATGTACGTACATCTTTGTCTCAGTGTCTGTGCAGAATGTAGGCCCATTTTTGAGCGGATCATTTGTTTTATTGCATTTTAACAATATTTTGGTGCAGTTCTGTGTGAGTCCTTTATTAGATGTAGGATTTGCAAATATTTTCTCACTCTGTAGCTTTCCTTTTTTAAAAAAAATATATTTTATTGATTTTTTACAGAGAGGAAGGGAGAGGGATAGAGAGTTAGAAACATCGATGAGAGAGAAACATTGACCAGCTGCCTCCTGCACACCCCCCACTGGGGATGTGCCCGCAACCAAGGTACATGCCCTTGACCGGAATCGAACCCGGGACCCTTCAGTCCGCAGGCTGACGCTCCATCCACTGAGCCAAACCGATCAGGGCTGTAGCTTTCCTTTTTAAAGAAAATATGTTTTTATTGATTTTTCTTTTTTTTAGGGGGAGGGATAGAGATAGAAACGTCAATAAAGAGAAATATCACTGAACAACATAAACTGATGAACAAAAATAGAACCAGAGACATAGGAGCATCCAGCAGAATGTACAACCCATGAGGGAAGGTGGGGTGAGGGGGTAAGAGATCAACCAAAGGACTTGTGTGCATGCATCTGAGCATAACCAATGGACACAGACAGGAGGGGGTGAGGGCATGTGCTGGGGGTGGGAGCGGCCGGGGGAGGCCAATGGGGGGAAAGGAGACTCATGTAACACTTTCAACAATAAAGAATTTACAAAAGAAAAGAAACCACTGATCCGCAGCCTCCTGCACGCCCCTCCTGGAGAGAGGTGGCCGAACCCTGCATGGGCCCCAGCAGAACTGAACAGCGACCTCTGGTTCACAGGCTGGTGCTCAACCACTGAGCCGCTCCAGCCAGGCTCTCTGCATCTTTCCTTTTCATCACCCTCCCCCCTATTTTTAAAAAATTGGTTTTAGAGAGAGGAAGGGGGGAGAGCTAGCTGGATAGAGAGAGAGCGATTTGTTGTTGATGTGTTCACTGGTGGCATCTGGTAACGGAGCTGACCGGGCCGAGCCCCGACGGGGACGGGCAGGGCCTCCTTCCCACCCTCTGAGCAGTGTCCCGGGTGCGAGTCTTCAGTCTGGGCCAAGTCCTGTTCGGCTTTGCCACTCGGGCACGTCTTTTCTCACTGGAGCCACGTCTCCCTCGGCTCCCAGGGCCGCCCCGCCCACACAGACGCTGGGTCCCGGACGGAAGCGCGGGGTCCCACCCGTTTCTCAGCCCATCCACTGCCGCGCTTCCCAAGGGCTTGGAGTGCAAACCAAGTACCGATTGCACTCCGTGGTCTTGAGAAGGGAGGGGGTCTAAGGGCCGGGCCCAGTATTAAGACAGAAACCCGCACACCCATCAGACTGCTACCGAGACAGGGAGGAATGTGGAGGCCAGGACCCGGGAGAGGGCTCAGCGAGGGGTCACGTGGAGC